CCATAGTTAAAATTATAAGGTTCAAAGTCGGATGAAGAACAGAGTAACAAAGCATGATAAATAACTCTACGGTTCTGGGATAAAATAAAGGATTTGAAAACCACTGGTCGACGGACTTATAAGTCATTTGGTAAGTGTGAGTAGGTAAAATTGAGTGGATGCCGGATCATAGACTCAATACTCGAACAGTAAACCTAAGGCAGCATTAGTCGAAAAGAGGATGAAGGAGTAAAAGGTGTTTGTTAGGCAATGCGTAAGGGATCGGAGAATGACTGTCATGAATGAATAAGTGAATGGTCCATGGTTTGGCTTTGAGAACTCCCTCCCCCTTCGGAGATGGCTACAATAATCAAAAAGGAACGTATTTCGAACCTATAAAATTGGGAAGAAGTGGAATCTCGATTGACAAGGAAAATTTATTAAAGATTCTTGGATGCTTAAACAGGGAATTAAATAGACTAGGATAGGAGAGCTCTTCTCCAGCATTCCACATCTATCTCGTCTATATGACAAAGTTTTAACGAAGGCATTCATCCATTTAACTTGTTCACAATTCCTGCTTTCACGTAGTGGGATTTCTCAATTTTAATTGTTTTCATTTCACTCATTCTGCATCATCATTTGGTTACTCAATTTCATTCCATCATCTGATTGCAGTGGTCAAAATGCAAATATTTCCACAATAGTACTACCAAAACGACGGGAAGTGCAATTTCTGTACATTCATCCTGTGCAAGCGGCATTACATGCTGGCCCGTGGTCCTGCTCCAATAACCGTGGGGATCGGGTAAGCTATTTCGTCGAGGTGGGGACTGCACCGGATTTCGCGAGCTCAAACGGTCCACAAACGTGGTCCGTATCCAAGCATCGACGTGTGCAAACATTACACTGTCCTCGTCTGCAGAACTGGGGCAATCCGCGTGGTCGACTTAGTTGGCTTCGGTGTGATCGTCGTGTGGACATTTGTCGCCCGGTGACCACTGGGGTCACAGACTCCGAGACGCAACTAGCCGTGTATCCACAGCCAGATGATTTGTATATGTGTCGAGTACAAAATATGTGGGGACGAACCCAACAACAATTTGTCTTCCAATCAAACCGATATTATGGATGAACTGATTGACAGACTCAAATCAGACATTGATTGATTTATTGGTTGCGTTCTTGTTTTTTTTCACCTTTCAAGCTGAAATTACCAGACAGAAATCATTTACTTGTGTGCATATTATTATATACATATATATACATAAATATATACATATGCCAATGTAAACAGACTGACAGATAGCCACCAGAAAATTAAAAAATCACTGCAAGAAGCCTTCGGCTTTGGATTGGTTGGTATTATGTAACCGCACTGCATTCTAAGCCACATTCTCATAGACACAATTCTCATTTTCAGGCTCATTAAAACCTCATGTTCAGGACAAAGAGAAATCGCATTCTCACATCACGCACAGCACAGCACTTCACGCATTATCGAAACAAATATCCCTGTCCAGCCACC